CCTCCTTTCCTCTCCCTCCCTCCCTCTTCCTCCCTCCCGCTGTCCCTTCCTTCTGCTCTCTGTAATGAAAATCAAGCACAGAGCCCTCAATGCAACAAGCAGGTCTCTACCATGGAGCTATCTTCCTGGTGCTTTAATAGCATATGAGACATGGTAGAACTATATGCTGGGTGTTCACATTTTTTTTTAAATTAGTAAAAGACACAGCCGCTTGAGCTCCTTCAGAGCTCTCCTCCTCACTCGGAACACATGCCTATGTCCTCCTCGCCACCTGCCGAAGCGACTCTGGACTCCATTTTCCTGAGTTTCCTAGCCGTGCTGTGGGGCTGCCTTGACACCCTGAATCCACTCAGAACACAGGCCCTTCATGGTCGTTTTGACTTTGGGGGGGCGCCGGGAGTCTGAGGGCACCCCATGGGCCGACCGAGGTGGAGGAGGATGCTCTGTCAAGGGCTTCCAGGCGGCCTTTAGCAGCAGCATTCACTGTACTTTTGATCTCACCTCCTAAAGACACTCATGTACAAGGCAGAACACAGAATGATTCTAAATTCTCCGACTTACCGAAGCTGTTCCTGTGGCAGAGGGTCATGGCTTTGCTCACGGCGGTGAGGAGGAAATTCCACCTCAGCTGGAAGCTGGCAGCCAGCTTCATAAACTCCTCCTTGCTTTTGCTTGGCTGTTATATATATATATATATTTTTTTTTTTGCAAGAAAAATAAACGCTGGTATTAATGATGAAATCTAGGAGAATAGCATGTTCTCAAAGATGCACATTTGTCAGGTACAGGCGCTCCAGAGCCAAGGGAGTGGGGACTAGGCTGACAGGCAGAAGCCCGAGGCAGAGGACCGGTCCCCGTCTGGCCCACCCCATGGAGGTGGGGAGCAGCGGGTGAGGGGAGCTGAGAGGTGGAAAGTTGGCCTCATTGCCCATCCTTGTACAAATTTTTAAAAAGAATTCATTCATGGAGGCATTGAATAAAATTTATGGGACACCGCTGTTTTGGATTGAGCTCCTACTCTGTTTCTCAACCGACCAAAACAAAATGGGGTCGCTCCCACGGAAGCTCTGTGCCACCAGAGCGACACTGAGGCGTTTGTCCAACCTGCTGAGAAGCCCTCAGAGACACCAGCCAAGTCCTCTAGCTCACCAGCTCTCCTTCACTGGGAAGACACTGCCCAGGCCCCTGCACCCTGCAAGCAATGTCAGGACAGGAAGGGCCTTGCCCCTGGGTCCAGCACAGGGAGGTCCTCTAGCAGTCTGGGGGGCACTGACCTCGGTGCCGACCAGTAAGAGGCTGCTATGTGCAGACCCAGAAATCCCCGTTCTTTTCTCTAGGTGGAGAACAAGCCTGGCCAAGCTTGGGGTCATCTACCAACCATGGGGTGCTGTGATGTTCGAGCACCTGTGTTCCACAATTCCCCAGAGCCCCCGCCACCTCTGTTTATGACCTGTGGACCCCCCACTGCTGGGCACTGGATTCTCCGGTAGAGATGGAAAGGCTGGCTGGAAGAGAGCAAGCACCCTTCTCACTGCTTTCCTTTTGCCCCTGCAGAATGCCCCTCACACCGTGGGACCGTCCTGGGCTTCAGGTGACACGAACTCTCTCTGCTGCTTCTCACCAGGCCTCGGCTCTCAGAAGTCCCTCCTCCCACAGGTGAAGGTCAGGGGTGGGGGTTGACTGGAGAGACCCTGAGCCTTGGCGAGAGCGTCCAGGATGTCTCCAAAGGGCTCCCGGGGCAGCAGCTTGGGGCAGTTGCCCCTCTCTGTGCATCAATGTCCTACCGTCAGACAACTACCAACGTGCTGAGGGGTGCTCTGCCCGGCCACCGCCTGCCCCTGTGAGGCACTGCCTGCTCCTCCTTTCTGAAAGGATTGCATGGGCCAAGGACAGTGAGAAACTCACCACCCATGGCTGTCCTCTCCCACCGTAGCCCAGGGCCAGATGCTAGCAATTGAAGACACTAGTCACCTCCGACAAGCCCAAGGCCTGGTGGAATGCTACGACTTTTATTGACAGGAGTCTGGCTTGCTTTTTTAATGCCTTTTTAAAAAAAAAAATCAGATAGGCTATTTTGCATAACAAGTCTTTCAAAGACATGCACAAAGACAGCCTCACAGGGGCAGGCTGAAATTTGATGGTGGAGACCTGGGTAACACCGTGCCCCTGGCTCCTAGACAGGACGGGCTGTGGGCTGCTTGGAGCAGGACTGGGACAGCAGTGCCAGGGCGCTCGTCCTCACAGAAGTGGGCGGCTGATGGAGTGTCCAGAACAAGGGACACACCGCGATACCAGTCCCTTCCAGTGACACGGAAGTCCTGTAGCTCTAAAGTTGGAGCAATGTCTCCTCAGTGGTGCAGTTTCAGATGTGTCACCATGGTTTAAGCCCAGGCTGGCACCAAAAGGAGGGACAAACAGCATCCACAGTCTGCAGTGGCTATTCTTTTCTTTTTCGCCTGCCTGCCTGCCTGCCTTCCTTCCTTCCTTCCTTCCTTCCTTCCTTCCTTCCTTCCTTCCTTCCTTCCTTCTATTCTTCTTCCTCTTCCTCTCTGTCTCTGTCTCTGTCTCTCTGTCTGTCTCTGTCTCTGTCTCTGTCTCTGTCTCTGTCGCTCTCTCTCTCTCTCTCTCTCTCTCTCTCTCTCTCTCTCTCTCTCTCTGGCATCAAGCTTAGGACCTTGCACTTGTGCCACTGAGCCATATTCCCAGCCCTAGGGTGGTTATTTTTCAAGAATTAAAGAACAGAAGCAGACACCCTGCTCCTTCCTGGGAGCTTCTCTGGTTTTGAAGAGCCCCGATCCTCTCTGCAGTCTTCATGGATCCAGGTAATATTTTTGCTCTTTCTTCTTGATTAGGAGCTCAGGGATATGGACCAGGCCATGCTAAGAGGGAAAGGGAGGTGACTGCAGCACGGCCAGAGGCTAAAGGACATATAAAGCCGTGTGCTGGTCCCTGGGGCCCTGGCACTTGGGTCTGTGCCCTGGAGTTGCCCTCCTTGTTCTCTGCACAAACCCCTTTCACCCATGATCACCGCTGTCCACATCTCTCCCAAGCACTTGTCCTCTGTCTCTGCTTGTTTCTTCATGCCCCAGGCTCAGCTGCAGTCCCCTGTAAGGTCTCAGAGCCCCGAAGCTGTCAGGGGCTCAGGGGTGGGTGGATAGGGGTGGTGGTGGGGCTGAGGCTGTGTTGCTTTACTTGGGTTTCACCCTACTTTGAGCCCTTCCCCTGAGCCTTATCCCTAACAGGGTCTGTTCTAGCTCTTCAAGGTTGACCCTGTGCACGAGGATGCAGACCAGCTCAGACCCTAGAGAACTGACCGCCAAAAGGCAGCTGCCCCAAGAGCCGGAGCCATGCTCAGCTGCAGATCTTTGGCAGATGTTTTGGCGGATCTTTTGGGTTTGTGTTTGCAGTGCTGGGAATGGAGCCCGGGGCCTTGTGCGTGTTGGGCAAACACTCTACCACAGAGCCACACCCACAGCACCCCTCTGAGTTTCTGAAATCAAGGGTCACTTTACTGGCATGTGTCTGCAAAGCCCCAGGCAGACCCCTTCTCCCCAGACTGACCCTGCTCCTTTCCCCAGAGTCCCACCTGTGCACACATGTACACACACACACACACACACACACACACACTCTCTCTCTCTCTCTCTCTCTCTCCACTTGTGCTTACCCAGACACATAGCCATGTACACACACTCGCCCCCAGCATACTCACACCCCACAGGACACTCACCTGCATGTATAAGCACACTCACCCACACACATGCACACGCACTCCTGTGTCACGTCCCCTCACGCTGCATCTCTACCTTGCCAGTTAGGCACCGATTCCCTGTCCCAATGTCCAGGCCATCCTGGAACTCCAACTGCCATGGAGACTCTTTCTCATAGCCCTGGGGCACAGGAGGGCTCAGAGAAATTCTGGTCACACACAAGGGCCAGAGGGTAGGGCTAGGCTGGCACCTTGCGGTCACCCGATTCGGAGTCCTATGGGCGGGGAATGGGCCCTAGGACTGTAATTTAGCCAGAATGATCAACACCCAGTTTTTCTGTAAAAAGTTGCAGCTTTGTACCTGGAAGACAAATACTTGGAGATTTGAAGACAGACAATTCAGGAATACCCCGAGATCTGTTGATGTTCCCAGCAAAGAAATTAAACAGCTTAAACCTATGAAAACAAACAAACATACAAACAAAAATGGAGAGGACTGGACGATCTCAGCCTCCTTCCTGTGTGGGTGTCGGTCTTCTAGGTAACCAAGGACACAACATCAACTCAGAGGGATTGCCCAAGGCCCCAGCTAGTCTGGCGCACAAAGCATTTGTCACCTCTGTGGCCATCAGGTTGGGTCACACCGTCTGAGCCCGGCCACATGTTGAGGCAGAGAACAAGGTTCTGAGACAACAGCCCTGCCTTGTAGCCACACAGCCGTCTTGGATGAGCTCACTGCATGGGCAGACATGACCTCACCTGTTCCTGACATTTTCACAGAAAGGCTCAGTTATTAATGCCACTTCAGTGGCAGGGACATCAAAGCCAGGGGGTACTCTGCTTGGAGTCATGTACTCCATTGGGGGCAAGTATGTGACGCCAGGTCTGGGTTCTCTACCTGCACTGGGGGCATTGAGGGGGAGGAACAGCTCTGAGCTCTGCTGCCTGGGAAGCAGTTTAGAGAGCTGAGGGATGTGGTGACCCTGGCTGAGGCTAGGTCCAGTGTCACCTGGCCTCGGCGCCAGTACCTGCAGCAGCTGTTAGGTGCTGCCCTCATGCCAAACTCTGCAGCTTCTTAAGGAGCAAGGGAGCCCTGGGCAGCCAGTAGGCAGTGTGGGGGACACCCAGGGCCGTGTGCTGGGGACAGAGCAGCCACCTGGGTCTCCTGGGGAGCAGATAGCTGCGCAGGGCATCTTTGGGGTTCCCACTAATCAGAAGGCTGAGAAGTTTGTGAGGTCCTGTGTCAGCCTTCATGTCAGTGGGCTGGGGACAGGGAGTGGTCAAGGTGGGAGTTTGGACTGGGGAGAGCCAGGGTGACAGGGACCAGGGACAGGATGGTGGCAGAGTCCATGTACTAATACCTGTGGGTGCATTTAGTATTTTAAAATACATTATTATTATTATTATTATTATTATTATTGTATTTTAGGGAAGGGTCTACAGGGTGTTCAGGGGCTCACTACCAGATTGGACTCCTAGTGATCTGCCTGTTTACAGCCTCCCAAGAGCTGGGATTACAGGCGCACGCCACCACGCCCAGTCTCAATTGCCCTCTCTGTGTGCCCCAGGGGTGTGGTCAGTA